GTTCTTAATCCTTTAAATTATAATGAGTATTTTATTTATCTATCCCCAAGGACACTCTTTTATACTCCTTGAAAGCAGAGATTTTAACTTTCAGTGTTGTATCATTGGCATAGAGCTTGTCTCTTAAAAGGCATAAACAAATAAATAGAAAACTGTAACAGGTAAAATCAATGGGGAAAGACCTGCACCTAGACAAAAACTGGCAAATATTTGAACTATAATAAAGAAGAACCTCTTTAAGTCTCTTGATTAAAAATAAAGTCATATTATCAATAAGAGTTAAAGTTTATAAATGCCACATTTTCAGAAAAGTTGTCATTCATGTGGGAAAGCAAGAGAAAGCCAATTGTAGGGGCACCTGGGTGGCTCAATCCGTTAAGTGTCTGCCTTCGGCTCAGGTCATTATCCCAGGGTCCTGGGATCGAATCCCACATTAGGCTCCCTGCTCAGTGGGAAGTCTGCTTCTCCCTCTCCCTCTGCCTCTTCCCCCAGCTGTGCTCTCTCTCTTGCTCACTCTCTCTCTCATATAAATAAATAAAATCTTAAAAAAGAAAAAAGAGAGAAAGCTAATTGTAGACCTTGAGAGGTTCAGAAAACACACTGGTCAGAAATCCTTAAAAAATTACTTTCAATTGTACGCCAAATATCAGAAAGATGAAGCAAATGTAATCACAATAAAAGAATGTAATGTCATAGAAAGATGAGTAATAAAAATCTGAGAAACAGATGTCTAAATATTTTTGAAGACCTGGTTTATAAAACAGAACACAGAAGGCGATAAATGGAGTTAAAGTGTTCTAAGGTCTCTGAATCATCCAGGGAGTGGTAAAATATTAATGTATATTAGATTCTAAGTAAAGAATAAATGCAGTGATTTTGAGGGTAACACTAAAAAATGGAATATAGTATAACTAATGGAGAAATGGATTAATAAAAATACTTGATTGGTCAAAAAGAAGGCAAGCGAGGGATAAAAAAGAAACAAATAGAGGTGAGCTAAATAAAAAAATAAATTGTGGGATAACCAACTTAAATTCAAATACAACATTAAATATAAATATATAGATAATCTTCCAACTAAAAGACAATGATTATGAAATTAGATTTTCAAAACAAAACTATTTATTGCTTACAAGAAACACACTTTTAAGTATAAAGATGCAGAAAGTTTGAAAGTAAAACGAGAATGAACTATAATGAGGCATAACTTAAACAGAAGACAGAGGATGTCTGTGTATGATTATTGCACAAAGTAGACTTTAAGACAAGAGCATTACCGGCAATAAAGAGGAATATTGCATAATGATTGCAAATGCATCATCACGAATCCAAAACAACTTTAAACTTTTATGTACCCAATAACATAGCTTCAAAGTTTCTAAAGCAAAAAAACCAAAAACCAAAAAACAAAAACAAAACTAAAGCAAATACTGAGAGCGCTGAAAAGAAATAGACTAATTCATAATTACAGTGGAGATTTGAGCACAATACTGCTTTCAACAATGGCAGAATGCACCTTCTTTTCAAGGGCACACAGAACATTTATCAGAATTGACTATGTGTTGGGATGTAAAGCAATTTTCAACAAAATTCACAGTACCAATATCTTTAAAGAATGTTCTCTAAGCCTCTTAGCAGAGGAGAATTAAGCTGGAAAACATTCAGCCACTGGATTGGATTTGGAGTGGAAGGTGGAGAAAAGTCATCGGAGAAACTGGCTGCAGGGGGTTGCAAAAGAATCACTCCAGATTAAAGTGCAGCTTTTGACAGACAAGTATCCAAAGGCAGCATGCTGTAGCCTGGAATGCAGGGCATCTGGGAGGAAGGGATGGAGCAGAGGACAGAGCAGAAGTCCCTAAAGGCAAATTTCATCAACTTTATATTTGTGTCTGGGGGGGCAATCACTACTGAGAAATACTGGGTATGCTTCCATATTGCTGAAATTATCTAGCAGGTAAATTCTCTTTCCATCATGAAGCAAATCTTTGGTCTCTTCACTGTCTGTTTGCTGAATGGAAAACGTTGCAATATTTAATTCCTTTGCTGTCTAAGCCCCTCCCCGTTGAACATTCCCAATCACCACCAGTATGCAGTCTTTTGTGGGGGGGGGCACTTGATTTTTGGCTACTGAAGAAATTAATGCATCTTTCCAATGTGGTAATAGCTAAGAAGTATCTTAGGACCAGGAGAAGCTGGGTTGGAGTGTAATGTGTTCCATCATGGCTGCTGAATTTTGGGAACAAGGGCTGCAGAGAATGTCATGGTAGGTTTCCACATGTTTTCATCTTTAGGTGTCAAATTCCAACTTCTCCTTGATTTGTCAGGCTAAAAAGAAACTTCCACAAATGCGAAGAGACCAATCCTGTATTTGGGCTCGCTCTGCCTTACATCCCCTACTACAGAGTTTTGCTGAAATTCTTTTCACACAATGCCACACTCTGGACAGAGCAAAGAGTTAATAGTTCCTGAATTGACTTAAAGAATGCAGAACATATTTGCTCATTTCATTAAAGCTTTGGAGGCATCTTACACCCAAACGAGCAGCCTCAGCTTAGCTACTTGAGCTTCTTCCCTGGCTTGACAAAATACTTTTTGTTGTTTGAGTTTATGAGAAATTTCAAAATAGGTCTTCGAGTGTAATCAAGAGATAATCCCACTCATACGTGCATAGAGCTTTCCTTTTCAACTGTACCTGAAAGATCACCTATGACTCTTGGAATTTTTCCTACTTATATCAGAGGATCAAAGGATCTGGATAGTCAAATCACAGTTCATGGCTCCATTGGTTTGCCCTGGCGCAAGGGGGCTGGTGTTAATAGAGACATCAGAGATGCAGGAGCCCCGGTCTGGTTGTCCACAAGGTTAATTAGTATTAGTTATCCACAGGACAGTCTACACTATTCCCAATTACCTACCTTATTTAGCCCCTCCTTGATGCTATACCGGGGAGGCTTATAAGCAGCAGAAGGTGGTCAATTAGGTAAGGATTGTTTGCCAATAATTACATGGAGAAGGGGGCTTTGTCACCTCCCTCAATCCAAGAACTTTGTAGAGTTGTGGACATTTCAGAGTTTGGACTTCCGAACAGTGGGGATTATTTCTCATCCTCCCTCTGGGAATGCCGGGCTATGCACACCGCTCTTAATCCAATTCCAGACCGGCTAAAGGTTTGCCTAGGGTCCCAGTTTGGTTCACTGTGGAGGGAGTAGGAAAGAGGAGAGGATACAGAGATGCCAAGACCTTGCTCCTATGTACTAAATGCAGTAAATTCAGCATTTTCACATAATAAGGTCAATGCAATAATCCGTTTCCACGCCGCAAAGCACTGAATTTCTCCAGCAGAGCAGGCAAACAAAAAGGAAAAGACAGAATATAAAAAATATCAGGAAAAGGAGATGATTAGTAACTATAATGTGCAGGGGTAAAAACTGGCTCTATCTGCCTAATAGAATCATTTTAAAAATTCACGTGTGGTTATGCTTGATTTATCTTTAGCCAACCCAATTAAAAGCCCCGTTCCAGTGCTTTCCTCCAGAGTGACTTAAGTGGTCAAATCTTCGCCTGGCAACCATAATAAATTCAGTAAGCAAGTGGCATAATTAAAACAAGATGCCACACATTCTGCATGGAGCACTGGGTGTTATGCACAAACAATGAATCATGGAACACTTCATCTAAAACTAATGATGTAATGTATGGGGATTAACAAAAAAAAACAACAACAAAAAAACAAGATGCCAGTTAGGGGCCTCAGAGAGGCTTAAAATAAAATCTGACTCCTTGTCCAAAAAAAAAAAAAAAAAGAAAAGAAAAGAAAAGAAAAATGTACACAAAGGTGTAGCATGGCCCGAAGCAGGAAGGGGGATTTTGATCTCTGTCCCATTCTTTGTTATGCCTCTAACTTACTGGGGACTGCGCACCAGTCACTAAACTCTAGGCTGTACCCTGTTATCTCATCTCTGAAACAACGAGGAGCACCCCTCTTGCTCGCCTCTTACAATATTGTAAGGCTCGCAGGAGAAAGCATATCTGGGAGTGTATAGAAACCAAACTGCATTTTATGGCAATGGTATTATGGTTATAATTACGAATGCTGGTTGTTAATGGTAATGAGGATGGTGACATTTGGAAAAGTGTTACTGGGAGACCACCGTGGGGCACACAGAAGCGGGCCAGGCTTGGTATCTATTAAATTCCAGGATAGCACGAAATGTCAATATATTATTGACAGAGCAAACAGTTTAAGGAACATAGAGAGAGGAGCAGTCTAAAGCAGTGGGAAGGGTTGGTTTGGTCCCTGTGAATGTAGCTTTGTGACCATAGCCATGCTGGTGAATCAAGGCGAAGATCAGGCATGAGGGCTTTTGAGATTGGAGAAGTGGGGAGAAAAGGAAGGAAGCAGTGTGCTGTGTGATCCTAGCCAGCGTGGAAGACAAGATCTGTAGCCCTCATAGGGAGGGCATGCGAGAAGCAGCTGGGTGGCCCATTTTTATGCGGGGACAAGCATGCTATAATCAAAGATTGAACTGTTCATGTCCGGCCACTGTACCAAACCCATGCTCCTTAACTTTCTAGGATCAGGGACCCCTTTGAGAATCTTATTAAAGCTGAGAACTCTCACCTGGGGGGACATGTGCACGTGGACAAGTCCATGAGATTCTGCAGCTGGAAGCCCAGGTGTAGAAACTGGCTTAGAGACCTGGAAGTAGGCTTTCAACTCCGAGAGTGAGGCACCCATTCCTAGCTGTCTGTCTAGCATTTCTTGAGCCGGAGTTCTGAGCTGCTCATGGAATGACTGAGTTGGGAGGAAGGAAACTATCTCAAACATAGTTTGACTGACAGCACTAACTGCATTCACCAAGGTAAGCCTGGCTTTGGGGGTCATTCATAAAGAGGGCAAGGATGTTCGTGTGCTAGAGCTTTCCTGGGCTGCAGGCTTCTGAGCATAACCCTCCATAGCCTCAGGTTTGGCCCCAATGACACCCCACCCTCTCCTGCAGATTCCTACATTGACTGAACCATTTCCAGACTCAGGCCCCAAAGAAGATCCACAAAGGGCACTGCTGGGCTGTTCTCCCCCATCCTGGTCTTGACCAGGAACCAAGGTAAGAAAGTACCTGGAGGAACCAAATCTCACAGGTGTCCCCTGGCCATCACAGACCCATTTCTACCTCCAGGCCTTTGCAGAGGCTGTTCCTTCTGCCTAAAATGCTTGTTTCCCCTTCTGGGTATGCGTACAAATGGGAATGAATGGGCATCAATGTAAACAAAGTGTGTTGAGCATGTGATATATTATACTAAGTAGTAATTCAATATGAATAATACAAAATCATAAATCTTAGGGTTGGTCTATTCTTCAGAGATCATTCACTCCATCTGTCTAACACTAATACTTATATTTCAGGAATTAATAGCAATGTCAATTATATCTCAAGAAAAAAGACTTTTAAATAGTGATAATAACACTCTTAATATCACTGGTAATGCTAATACTAACACAGGCAATCACATCTCCTTGAATACTGATCTGATCCATTTACTTTTTAATTTTATTTTCTTGTATGAGAATTACTTCCTATACACACACATTTTGCACATATTTAGACAAAGAAATGTAGTATAAGACTAAACTTATATACTCCACTTTGACTTAAAAAAAAAAAACAGTCACTAATTGCTTATACTCCTAGATGACCTTGAGGAGTAGAAAGATGGGGATTTTAGATGATTTAGAAACACACACACACACTGATACCTCATTTTGTTCTGGGAAGGTAGCCAAGACCTTTCAATTTTTGTGCTAATATGGCCCAAGAAGACAGAAGAGGGGTCTTAGTGAAAACATTGTTTTGTAATCAAAAGAATAAAATGAGATCTGCCTTTTACAATGACCTTGCATGTCACAAAAGTCTCTTTTTATCCCTCAAATGCGGAGACTTAATCAAATGCTTGTCTGCCTGCCATTTAATGACTTGGATTTTCTTCCCAGAAACCACTCCACCACCACCAGACTTTTCTAACTCCTCCGGTATTTCCAGAGACAAGGGTTGCCTCCTTCTCTCAACCTGGAAGCCACCAGAAGACTTCCTTCCAGCTCTGCATCCCCTTGGACGCTTCGTGAGATCAAAGAGCACTGAGATGCACATGCTTCCCAGTATTCACTCTGAAAATATTTCCCCACAGGGTTGGGTTCCACCACCAGGCTCTTTATCAGGAGACATGGCCCCAAATGGGTGAAGGGCAGTGGGAGGTCCAGGCTTCCAGTTGTGGAAAGGATAAGTCACAGGGATGAAAGGTACAGCATAGGGAATATGGTCAATGGCATTCTAATAGCCTTGTATAGTGACAGATAGTAACAAAGCTTGTGGTGAGCATAGTACAATGTTTAGAGCTGTCTACTAGATTGTATGCCTACAACTAACGCAACACTGTATGTAAACTATCCGTCAGTTAGAGAGACAGAGAGAGAGATGGCTCAAGTTGGCATAGATGTGAGGCATGTGTACATAGCCATGCAAAAGTGACAGTTCGTTTGTCTAGCTCATTTTTTTTTTTTACTGTAGACAAAGTATCTAGAAATGGCTCAGGCATCACATTATTGTCAAAGCTCTTGTGTAAAAGACTGCCACATTCTTCCTCAATGACAGTTTATGAAAGACAGCAGAGAATTATGTGCTCGATGTATGGTGCCTGGATGCATACAAACATATAACTGGAGGTTCTTTCTGTTGATGGAGAGGCATCCTTTTCCATAAAGGAATAGTCTAGAGTAAAGGGAAAAAATTACTAATGTAGTCCATGTGGAGACAGTTTCTCTGTTTGATTATATTTTACCTGGTGTTTTATTAGTCACCCCCAAGATGTTTCACCCATGTCTTAGCATTTCAAGGTGCTGGCCCACAACACCCTCACCTTCTCTTCCTCGTGGACCTGGGAGGCCAGCCTTCCTTCACATGTTCTGGATGAGGTGTCTGAGCACTATGGCAAACACTGGTGCTATTTACAGAGATGCCTTTCTTCTCCTTGGGCACACAGCTAGACTGCATCTGCCAGCCTCTCGTGAAGTTAGCTGTGGTCACGTGACTGAGTTCTAGTCAATGCAAGATGAGCTGAGGTGACGTGAGCCACCTGCCAGTCCTGGCCCATAAAAACCTCACACATCTCTCTTCCCTTCCAGCTGATGGGATGATGGGATGGTGCCATCAAAGCCACATGGGAAACGCCAGTCTCTAAAATGACTTGTGTGGAGCAGAAACACACACACGTACAATCTCCCTGCTGATCTGGAATCTTCCTGAACTATTCTGTGAATCTGAAATAAATGTCCAAGTGTTAAGCTATTACCCATTTGAGTCTGTTCCCACAGTCTACCCTAGCCAACCTAGCACAAAAATTTGTACCGTGAAGTGGGATGCGGCCATTTTCAAAAGACTAAAATTGGGGGTGCCTGGGTGGCTTAGTTGGTTAAGTGTCTGCCTTCAGCTCAGGTCATAATCCTGGACTCCCTGGATCGAGTCCCCACATCGGACTCCCTGCTCGGTAAGGAGCTTGCTTCTCCCTCTGCCCCTCATTCTGCTCTTATGCTCTCTCACTCTCTCTCTCAAATAAATAAATAAAATCTTTAAAAAAAAAAAGACTAAAATTGTGCAGCATTGGCTGAATCAGGCAACAGTGGTGGGGTAACACGTGTAGCAGGAGGAAAGATGGAGATTCGTGTGGGTGTGATGTGGAGGCAGACCACACGCTTGCTGAGTCTCTGACTCTAAAGAACTTACTAGAACAATCCAGAGTGACAGTGTGTATTGGCTGTTGCAGGGCTTAGAAGGTATTACAGTACTATAAAAGAGAGATGAGCTCAAGTGTGTCTGGTTTACAAGCAGAGAGTGAAAGCTATAAAGTTCAGAGATGAAGGGCTTTGAGGTGTTAGAAAGACCTACTGCTTCTGGACCCTAAATAGTAAGCGACAAGACCAAAAAACGTTCTGTACAGCACAATCTCATTAGGACTCTCCAGTAAACCAATGGGGCTTAGACCTGTGGCAAAGGTCACATTGAGAATGTTGCCTTCTCAAGCCCATTGATTCCATGGGTCTCAATATAGGTACATTACTTTGAGAAATAGGAAAGTATAGGTTGGGAAGCAAAGAAATTAAGCAGACTTGGGGAATATGTTTGGGGAAAAATAATAGAAGATGTTGTTTCTGGCACCTACAACTGCCTAGAAGCAAATTGAAGAGAAGCCTGCCGTGCTCTTGAAGGAATTGTCAGACAATGAGCCTGACCCACAAGCCTGTGATTGGAAATCTACACAGAGGCCTCAAAGTTGCAAGAGTAGGATGAGTTCAGTGCAAGTGATGCTCCCCGCCAAGAGCTGCAGCGTCTTCTGTGCCCACCAGAGATGGGGCCTCAGAGAAAAATGGCCAACTAAGGAGCTCTCAGCACCTCCAGAGCACAGAGTCTTCACAAAGGTCTGCCTAGCAGAGGCCCAGCCTTACTACGGGCTGACGACTACTGGATGTTTCCCTCCTTTCTGGGAACTTTCATTGTACTTAACGGCGTTCGATACACCATATACCAGGTGTAATGTCAAGTGTTGTTCTTTTCTCAGGTGATTTGTCAACATCCACGTGCAGGAAGCAAGGAGGGTATTTTTAGTCCCAGTTTACTAGTGAAGCAACCAGATCGAGAGAGGTTATGACCATGGCTGTCGTTTTGATACCACACCCAAATATCTTGTCGGTTCGATTACGGGGGGGGGTGCAGCTAAAAATGGCCATTTTCAACTAGCAACATCGGTGGGCTACGCCAAAAGATTCTCTGAATTCAGGCAATGATCTAATCAAACCGCAACAATGACACCAAAACATCCTGGCTGGCTGACTGGCTGGATTTTGGACAGAGTTCACCACATTGATGCGCCACCAGAAGTCTCAGAATCATAGCTGAAGATGAGGTTTATCTCCAAAAGCCCCAAGCCAAGGCCAATTTGCTCAATTCATTCTTCAAATCAATCAGTGTGATGAGAGTAAAGCTATCTCAAATTAAATTTCACCTCCCATCCCTGCGCATGCCTGGGGAAAGTATTGTTCTCTTCTGTTCTTCTCCACCCCCAGTGGCTGCTTGAAGGAACCGTCCCGACAGACGGAGTCTGAGGAGAGCTGTGAATTCGGCAATGTGTGTTTCCTGTGTCTTTCCACTTTTTCTTGTGCCCGCAGAACGAGTTACCCTCCTGTCCTTGTATCCCTGTGGCGGCCTTATAAAGAAATTCAAGTAAATACATGTCCTTGGCGGACCGATTTTATTCTCATAATTACCTTTTGGGCAAGAAACAGATCCTTTTAGCTGAGCAACTAGTCTGAACGGTAATTAAAGTTGACATCAAGCATTTGAACAGAAATACGGTCTAATACAAAAGGGCAAAAATTCTTCAGAGAGATTTAGTGGAAGGTTAAACTCACTGAGCTAATGGTGATAAGTGGCAGTGAGATGCTAGACTGTGGGACGGGAGGACAGAGAACCGCACTCCAGGACAGGCGCTGTCCTTCACCGGGTTGGCCACGAGCAATAGTCAAGTCCAGCAAAGGGGCATCACCTTACACGTCCTGGGAGGGACCGCTGGACAGTGCTCCCTCTGGGACATTGAGAGGGTGCACATTCTTTTGCCTTATTTGCAAGTTTTGGATAGTTTTTCATAACAGCTTTTAAGCAAGTCCTTATCCCTTACTGTAAAATAAGGGATTATAATTGTTGTAGGATGAAATCTGTAGTTATGATGCTAATGATACTAAGTGACAATTAACTAGCCTCTGAGCTCAGACTCTGAAGGAGTGGGGTCTCCTTCAATCCGCAAACCCAGGGCCTGGGTGGGAATTTGTGGGATTTTGTACAGGGTGGGGAGCATCCCATCTTGGCCACCCTGGGGGCAGGGACATGAGGCCTCTGCCTGTCTCTGAACCTTCAGCTGCCTAGAGCCCACTTTGCTGCCCTGGGTGAGGACTAATGACTTCCAGCTCAGAGGATGAACAAGCTGACTCATCAGGGGCTGGCAACTCCAGCAAGCTCTGCATGTCCAGTGTCCGCGCCCCCCTACCCTGAGGCTATCCATTCCTTCCTGTCTTGTTCTTACTCCTTTTCCTCTTATCCCCTTTCCTCTCCCCTCTCCCTCCCCTTCTCCCCCAAGCCTTTCACATTTGGTCATATGCCCCTCTTGGTCAGGATGAAGCACAAACCCCTCCCCATGGTCTCCGTACTTGCTGTTTCCTCGGCTGAGACATCATTCCCTCTGATCTCTCTGGGCTGATTCCTATTCTCTACCGGATCTCTGCTCGGTGTGATTTTTCGGACCTGACCATAGGCTATTACCCAGGCTTACCTGACTGGCCTCCTGCACCCGCCTGGAGGTGGGGGTGGTCTCTGAGGAGCGCTGTAGTCAGGGTCTCAGGCACCCCCACCCCCCAAGTCAGCCGTGTTCGGTCACACGCTTGTATTCCTAGTGCAGGCACCTTGGTTCCTGAGTCTCTTTATCTGGGCCTTGGGCAGACCTTCTTCGGGAGCCTTGCTGAGCCTCCTCAGGGAAAGGGGGGGGAAGCCCTGAAGACACGGTCCCCACTCTCAGTCCCCAGTACTTTCCCTCCCCTTCTCCTCCCCTCTCCAGGGTCCATGACAAGCTTGTGCTGGAGCCTTCTATTCAGGGCTCTCCCCACCTCTGTGCTGATCCACCTGACGCTCAACCAGCATCCAGTCCAGGAGGGAAAGGAACGTGGGGACTCAGAGCTTTCTCGGGTTTAAGGCTCTCACACCATCGCATTCACTCTCATTATGGCTTTGGCTTTCACAGGCTTCTCTGAGAGCTGGCAGCTCAATCTGCTGTCCCCCAGCTCAGCTGAGCCCCTGACATATTGGGGGGCTGCCTTTGTTGTGGCCCTGGAAGAGATCTCAGGGTGACCCAGTCCAGCCGTTCACACTCTCGCCAAGCTGCTGCCACGGGGCCTGCTTTCCATTCCGTGAGCACCTCGGGCACCCTCTGCCACAGGGCCTTTGCCCAGAGCGCACTTGCTGCCACCCCTCCCCGGTCTGTTTAATCCCTCTCATATTCCAGACCTCAGCTCACATGCTACCCTGCAGGGAAGCCTTCCTGATTCTTCTATCACGTGCCCTCACAGAACCCTGTTTCTTTCCTTCTCTGTGTTCACCTTGGTTTCTAATTGCAGACTTATCTGTGAGGTGTCGGTATTCTCTGGGGCAGCTGGGAGAGAGAGATGCTGAACACTGTTAGATCCCTGTGCCTGGCACAGTCCTCATCTCCCAGTTCAACAGACTAGTTTCCGTAAGTATTTGTTGAACAAATGAATGAATGAATGTTCAGTATTATTCTTCCAAAGCACAAGTTCAAACCCAATTCCCACAAGTTAAGCTTAACCCAGGAATGCTAAGAACAAAACCACATGACACAAGAAATTAAGGTGATTTATCAATAGTCAAGATTGCTTGGATAGCATGAGAACCAGGGCTTGGGGCAGGATATCCAATCAGTTATTCAAGCATGGCCATGATCATGGAGGACACACGATAGAGTCACAGCAAGTCTGCATAGCAAGGCCAACAAGGCCAGATGACTATGAAGGGCAGTTCCAGCTCCTCAACCCCTCCTGGTGGCTTTGGGCACCTCACCTCACTTCCCATGTCACCATCTTCCCAATTGGATTCTTCAAAGCACCGTTCTGAAGAGCAAGCAAAATCTACATTGAAGGCATTACTAAAGCCATCATCACTCAGTAGAAGAAGGTGAGGGTGAATTCAGGTTGACCTTTGGACCTGAGGATCCACAAGAAGAAACAGGAAGAAGGTGACCATACGAACCCTACCAAATCAGCCAAAGGAAGAAGTAAAGATTCCCTCATACCCAAGGGTACTTGTAACAACATGACACAAGATGGCTCCTTTGAGTTTCCAACCAGATCAACTACTTGTTTGGAGTTCACATCAAACCAGCCCCAGACATCTATAAATAATACCCAGAGCTCAATTATTGTCTTTTCCCTTCTTGATACCCATAGTTTGCCAAGGAATCTCTCCTGTGCCAGTAAGCCCTGTGACTTGGCCCCTACTTGTCAATTCTCAGCTGTGATATTCAGCATGATCATCCTTTGCCTAAGAAGAGGCAGGTGGAAGCCAGGTCCTCATTCTGGCCCCAAGGGCACTGGCCTCAAGGGCAAAGTATCTGGAATGGTTAGAATCAATGCAAATTAAGAGTGTGTACCTCTGTGTGTGTGTGTGTGTGTGTTAGCCTGCCTCCGTGTGTGCCCCTTTGGGTTAGAGTTTGTTTTTTAAAAAGAATCTGGGAAAGCGACCAAGAACTCTATATTAAAAAAAAAACCAACAACCTTTTCCTAAAGGGGCACTTCCAACCTAGTTCTCACAGCACAGGGAAATGATGCTGATTTTATCCTCTGATGAGCAAGGCATAAAAAAATGCCACCTCCTCATCTACTTTCATGGTTGTGGGATTGCCAGTGGAGGAATTTGCCCCCTTTCTCTGCCCCTCTTGGTGTAATGGAAACTACCTTAACTTTTCTCTTATGCCCTTGAATCACCACCTTCCCTGATGCAGATGTATGGGTTTTACAAATAAAAAGGGGGTGGATGAGTGGGGAGGTGGTCAAGGACTTGGCCCACAAAAACTTAACCTGAAATGCAAAGGTTGGTAGGGGAAGGAGGAGCCATAGCTGAAAGCTCTCCCAGTCACAGGACACTTGACCCTGGGACTGACCAAGGTCAGGGCACCGATGCCAAATCTCAAGGGAAGAAAGCAGTGTAGTGACAAAGCAAATGCCCAGAGCAGGGTCAGGAGCACAAGTATCAGGCCTGAAGAGGGAAGGGATTGCAAGCACCAGGCAAGATCAAGGTGGTTGGTTTTGTTTGGGTCCAGAGGCTGAGAGTGTGAAAATGAATAAAGGGAAACCTGACTAAAGTGGACTCGGGGTGCTAGATGGGGAGGTAGGGGGAACTATAGCACTAAATGTCAGTTACAGGAAGAACTGTGAATTACAGATCCCAACAGAAGACTCTCAACAGGAAGGAATCATCAGTGACAGGCCCCAACAGGAAAAGATGGGCAGTGCAGCCCCTACAGGAAACTGACCACCCCCGCAACTCAGCCAGTGAAAACTCTTGCTTTCTCTCCAACGAAGGGACCATTGTTCAAAACACCCCCTCCCAACTTCATCCTTCTTCTCCATAAAGTAATGTTCCTCTCCTTTGTTCGTCAGACTTACCTATGGTTTTGCTCTAGTTTGCTTGTCCCAGATTGCAATTCTCTGCTGTTCCCAAATAACTCCATCTTTTGCGTGTAAAAGAACTGACCGTTTTCTTCTTAAGGTTAACAAGAGAGAAGCCCAGAGGTGGGAGCTCTGAGTGGGGAGGCTCACAGGGGCCAGACCAGGGGAGAAGTCTGGGGTCTGAGCAGTGCCAAAGCCATTCTGGCACATGTGACCTGCATTGGGGGTTCAAAGCAAGCATTTGTTCACCTTCAATCTGTAATTCAAGGGGTTGCTTTCAGGCTGCAGGGTGGGGTACCCAGCTGTGCCCCAGAGTTGGGAGGGAGCTGCTTCAACCCTGGGGTTTCTGAGAAGACCCTGGGGCCCCCCTGAGGGTCAGTTTAGGTGGACTAGTCTGTTCAACAAAGGCTTGCACCCTCCCCAGCTCAGTGCTTTGGCCAGGACACACAGGGAACAACTTCCCTTGAAGGCATGCTGACACCATCTCTCTCACAACCCTCCTCCCCCTTTCCTATTGTTCTCTGTAGATTACCGCAAATGAAAGATGCTTATAGATTCTAGTTAAAGGAGGGTAGGTTAACTTGCTGGGTTGTTTTGGGTTTTTTTAGCCGTATAAATTCACCCTGCTCTATGTGAATTTCATAGGAGGAATACTGTTGTCTTAGCATCAGACTTAATAAAATGGCTTAAAACTTTTTACAAGATTAATATTAATTATTTGTGTCTACTTCTAGCCCTCAAACTAGAGAGGATCATCTGAACCATTCATCCTTTGGCTTTTAGGAGCACAAAGCACTACATTCTCCAAGCCTGACATTGAGAACATGTCTTATGTGATACCAGATGTGTAAAACTGCGTGTGTGTGTGTGTGTGTGTGTATAACATCAATATATAGTTCTCTCTGGGGTTTGAAGTGATTTTCATTTTCTATTTCACATTTTTTCTTCACTCTTAATTGCTTTGCAATAAGTATTAATTTTGTCATCAGGAAAGAAAACCATAAAGCTATGTCCATTTGGGAAAAAAATAGATGTCGGTTTCCTGGCCAACAAAGTTATTCTTTATTTTCCTGAGAGTTGTGTCTAGAGACAGCTGAAATTTCACATCACCAAGCAGAAGTCTGAGATCCTCCAGCTTGAGGCAGCTTCTGCAGCCCTGCCCCAGTTCCAGCGTTTTCCCTGTTTCTCTGGCCTGGGTCAGTGGTCTCTCTTCCCTCCGGCCCCATCCCTCCAACTCTCCCACCCCCTCTGCAAGATACCATGGGCATTTTATAATTTCTAGCAACATGCCTCTCCTTGGGTTTGGGATGTCACCAAGGAAGAA